TGGAGTACTGTGTCCATTTCTGGGCGCCGCACTTCAAGAGGGATGTGGACAACATGGAGAGGGTCCAGAGGACGGCCACCTGCATGATTGGGGTCAGCAGGGCAGGCCCTATGAGGAGAGGCTATGGGACCTGAACCTGTTCAGCCTCCACAAGAGAAGGCTGAGGAGGGATCTAGTGGCGATTTACAAACTAGTCAAGGGGGACAAGCAGGCTTTGGGAGAGTCCTGTTCCCCCAAGCACTACCAGGAGTTACAATAAATAATGGTCACAAGGGTAGAGGGTAGATTTAGGCTAGATATCAGGAGGCGCTACTTCATGGTCAGGGCAGCTAGGATCTGGAACCAACTTCCAAGAGAAGTGGTGCTGGCTCCTACCCTGGGGGTCTTTAAGAGGAGACTAGATGAACACCTTGCCAGGGTCGTTTGACCCCAGTACTCTTTCCTGCCATGGCAGGAGGTTGGACTGGATGATCTGCTCAGGTCCCTTCCGACCCTACCAACTATGAAACAACTATGAAATAGTAAAGGCATGGAAATAGCTGGCTGCTTAGTTTATGTTCCCCTGTCTTATTCTATTTGATGACCAGTATTCAGATGGGTGAGTATATATTCACCAAAAACAGAAGTATGAGTCTACTGGCACAATCTCCTGAGAAGCACATGATTCATCAGAACCATGATAATCTCAGAAGTGCCTTCAAGACAATGGTATTGAGATCTTATGGAACGAGAACAAGAATACAACCTCTGAATGTGAGAATTGGAGAAATCTTTTAAAATTTGTTTTGTCCTGCCCCTAGGGCCTAAGACAAAAGCTATGTTTCAAACCAGTGTTGTTTTTCTAGCAAAATTTCGGTCTCTGAAAAATATTGGTCAGATGCTGTTGTTTTTAATAATGCTTATTTCTATTAAGCTCTTGAAGAAAGTTATTTCTGAGTCAAGGACAGTGTAGCACTGAGTCTGGAAAGAAATTAAACAATTGTGGACATGTTACAGTCTTGGTACTTAAATGCTGTGCAGATTGTGGAAGACATCTTCTGAAACAGATACACATAGGCTGCTCTGCTAAACCTCTATAGCTCACTGTTTTGTTGAAGTTTGCCTATGTAGAATGAAGAAACCTGAAGTAAAAAGTATATGGGAAAAAGTTTGGAAGCTGGGGTCATGGTTGCAACTCTTCTCTCTTGTAAAATCTTTGAAATTTATGGCAGTAAAAATGGGCCCTTTGATCAAAACAACATCAAAAACAACAACATGCAAAAATCCGTCTCATGAAGTTGTCAGATACAACCTAGATACTGTCAAATATCTGGAAAACAATTCTGTAGTACCATTATGAGTTAAGAATTACCCATCAACCTATTTTTCAGTGCCAACTTTTCTATACTTTGGAAAAGATAACAGTATCATTCATTGCTCCTTCACAGATAATGACATAATAAATATAGCCACTTATGCTAAATCCTTAGACAATAGTGTGTGCCAAAACTCTGAATTAGCTGAGCTAACATCCTGTAAACTTCAGGAAGAGGATGCATTTCTCAATGCATAAACATGGCTATTTGTCACTGTGATTGGAAAGAATATGCTTATATGCTTTATTTCATTATGTCCACATATTCAGCAATACTTTCTACTTAAATTGATAGCAAAGATGCCTGCTTTCTCTGTACAGTTGAAAGCTGAAATTTACCTTGATGTATGCTTTAATTTGTTTCTTAAGATTTTCTAACCTTTTGATCAAACCTGCACATCAGCTTTACCTGTTTCTTTGAGTTTCAAAATTGGCTAAAGGAATTAAATGACTAGGCATTCTATAACAAATAATAAAAAAGACCAATTATTGTTTATCTCACCTTTTATCTCAAGGAATCACAAACCGCTTTTATAGAGTTCAATACATACTGGACACATCTAAACATGCTATTAATAAACTTGAGGCTTATTATGCAATAAAATGTTGTTCATTAAGTCTTCTTCTTTCCTGGGAGCAGTCTCCATGTGTATCCTTCTGGGAGCAGATTTGCTTCCAACAGGAGCAGCTCAGTTCAGGGCTGCTCCCACCCTCCTCTGCCCCACTGCAGCAGCCAAGGGGACCTCCAGGCTTCCCTGGGTGATAAGCCAGGGGCAGGCAAGGGGCACTGGGGCCCGCCCCAGAGGGGCCCAGGAAAGCTCTGCTGTCTGTAGCATAAGCTGTCTTCTGGCCCAATGCACATTAGGACAGGACCTGATGTGCATGGCACTGAGATATAGCTGCTGCTGTACCTGGCAGAATTCTCCTGGCTCTGAGCACATTGGCAGTGCTTCCTTGCCCAGCAGGGAATTTGCCAGGACCTGTTCTGGGTGTGGGGTGGTTGTTGGTGAGTTTCCTTTGTGTGGGGACCCTGCCCAGGAACTGTCCTACATATGAGGCAGCTGCTTGTGAGCCCCATGCCCCCCACTTGGCTTGCTTGACAGCTCCCAGCCAGCCCCCTGTTGAGTGGAGGGAGTCAGTATTCACCAGCAGCTGGTCTGCTTGGGTTCCCAGCCCCGCACAGTTCCTGGAGCAGCTCTGCACAGCATGGTGCTGGGAACTCCAGAGAGTGAATGGGGGTTGGAGTTACCAGCTCTGTGCTGTGCAGAGATGCTCTGGAGAGTGAGTGGGGGAGTGGCTTCCCAGACCCCACTTATTCTCCAGAGATCCCATCTCCATGCTGGGAGCTGGGAGCCAAGATGTGGGGCAGAGAGCTCCCCAGCTCTGGTGCTGATTGGCTCTCAGCTCCCAGGGTATCTGAGCAGTGCCAGGACTGAGGACAGAGAGCGCCACATCCCCTGTGGTCCTACTGCTTAGACTGACCGGGAGCAAATTTGCTCCCGGTCAACATGTAAAAGTGCAGGACTGCACAGTAACTACTGCACAGTTAATCTTGTACCTGTATTTACAGGTACTAGTTAACTGCACAGTAGCTTAATTTACTTCACAGTATATGCCCCTATACATGTAGATCGTGATTAGTCTACTGCTCAGTAAAGCGTCTCATGTAAATGCACCCACTGAGTTCCATTTTGAGTTTATATTGTATATCTCACTGAAGTGTGGCTACTGGAGATGTGAAATTAAATAACTAAACTCTATATGACTACCAAATCCTTAATTCAGGTTATGACTGACCTTGCAGGTGGCATAATTTGTTCAAAGGTAATAGGCAATAATGTGGTAACAAGCTAGAAAGCCAATAGTGGATTCATTTAGTATATTTTAATGTCAGGTAGGGTGCACACAGACATAATTTTGAAATGTTTCCAAATGTAAGAGGTTTGGAAATATTTAGAAAACAGAACCACTGGAGACACATACAGCCACTGCCGTGGTCCCCAGCTGTAACACTTCAAATT